AATAACTTGACAATATTGAGGTCAAACCACAAGGAGTTTCACTATATAAATTATAAATAATAATAATAAGTTAAAGAGGACTTTGAGATGTAAGATTATTGTAAGGATTAAACAATGATAAAAATAAATATCAAGGTTAGAGGATCCACTAATAGTATTTCAAACAAGTATAGTATAAACTCTTTTTATTACTCAACTGGAAACTACACACAAAAGAGGTTCTAATCAGATTATAAATTGTTAATATGATTACATTAGTTATCTAATTCGAATAATGTTAATACTTGTCAATGTTGTCAAGTATTCATAATTATAACTTATGTTAACACCAAATCATGTTTTTTTCATAGCATAGGTGTATGTTATACCATACGATTAGGTTATGAAAGTACTAAGTGTTTGTTATACAACATAAATCTAAAGTAGTCATTTAACAAGCAAAGTATTAAAAGTGAACAAGATAATAAATACAAAACATGTTAGTATCAAACATTACAGTCCATATTGAGTTTATATTATACTTATTCTTATACCATTAGTGTACCCCTTTCACCTTGACATGATAAACTTAGCTAAACATAATGAAAAAGAAAAACATAAATAAACAAGATAAAAAAAATAAATAAGATATAAGTTAACTAAGTAAAATGAAATGAAAAGCATAAAAAAAGATATTAATATAAGCAAAATATAAGCATTACAATAAGAAATAAGCAAGAACATGATCTTGATCTAAAAACCAAGATGCTTAAATGCATGGCAAATGCCTCCTTTTATAGGAAAAAATTTAGAACTATTGATTTGTTCACTAATTGTTGAATGGGTGGTCATATCTTAACTTAGTGACAACCCTTATCATTTTGTCTGAACAAAACGTCATTGGTAACTTTAGAATTTGAATAGACTGTTTCATGAAAGTTCTAGAAAATTGTCTCAGCTTTCTGACAACAAAAATTGAGTCATTTGGATTTCTAGAACTCGAGATATGGGCTGAACACTGAACAACGTCTGGACTGCAGGACAGATTCAGACTTCTCCGTTGTTGTTATAATTTGAACTTGAAAATGACCTTTTTGAATCTTGGACTCCCATGAAAGTTTTAGGCCTATGGCTTAGCTTTTCATCCATATAGAGCAAACCTAAATCCAAGTTTTACAGCTCCAGTTATGATCCAATGACCAAATGGTGTTCCAGTTTGGACTGAACCAACATCTCTTTTCTAAGCTTGGCTTTCTTTATCTTTTCATTTTCATTAGTTAAACTCATCAATCAATTCCTTAATTTATATGATAGGCCTGCATTTAAGAAGAATATTTATCATAAATTAAAGGTATCTTATTGATTAGTACTTAAAAGTGCATTTTTATCAAGGTTTTTATATCATCATTTTGCACTTGAAATATCAATAACTCCTTAACTAAAGCATATTTTATAATAACATATCTAATAATATAATATACCTTTAATTTATGGTAAATATTCATTTAAATATAAATATTCATTTTAAATGTAGGCCTATCATATAAATGAAAGGATTGATTGATAAATTTAAGAACTGAAATTGAAATGACAAAGAGATAGCCAAACTTAGAAAAGAGATGTTGGTGTAGTCCAAACCGAAACACTGTTTGGTAATTGGGTCATATCTGAAGTTATAGATCTTGGATTTAGGTCTACTTTATATGGATGGAAAGGTAAGACATAGGCCTACAACTTTCATATGGAGCCAAGATTTAAAAAGGTCATTTCAAATCCAAATTTTAACAACAACAAAGAAGTCTAAATCTGTCCTACAGCTCGCACACTGTTCAATGTTTGGCCCCTATTTGGAGTTCTAGAAATCCAAATGACCTTTATTTTTTTTCCTGGAAAGCGGAGATAATTTCCTACAACTTTCATGTTTTCAAGTGATTCTAATTCTTACGTTATAAATGATGTTTTGGGAAGACAAATGAAGATAAGGATTGTCACCAAGTCAAGAGTTGGCCACCCACTTATCAATTAGTCATCAAATAAATAGTTCCCAATTTTGGCCTATAAAAGGAGGCATTTGCCATGCATTTAGGCATCTTGGTTTCCATATCAAGATCATGCTCTTGCTTTCTCTTTTTATATTTTTGTAATGCTTAAGTTTTGCTTTCATTAATATCAAGTTTATGCCTTTCAATTCCTTTCCTTTACTTAGTTAACTTTTATCTTATTTATGTTCTTATCTTGTTTATTATGTTAAGATGAAAAGGTTATACTAATGGTGTAAGAATAAATATAGTGTAAACTTAATATGAACTTTAATGTTTGATACTAACATGTTTTGTATTTGTTATCTTGTTCACTCTTTAATACTTTGCTTATTAAATGACTAATCTAGATTTGTGTTATATAACACTTGGTACAACAAATACTTGGCACTCTCATAGCCCATATTGTATGGTATAACCGACACCTGAGCTATGAAAGAAACTTGATTTGTTGTTAACATAAGTTATAAGCATGGATGCCTAACAATATTTACAAGTATTAGCATTAATTGAATAAGATAACTAATGTAATCATATTAACAATTTATAATTTGATTGGAACCTCCTTTATGTTGGTTTTCAATTGAATAATAAGAGTTTATATTATACTTGTTTGACATACCATTAGTGGAACCTCTGACCTTGACATTTGTTGTTATCATTGTTTAATCCTTACATTAATATTCCATCTCAAAGTTCTCATCTTCTTCTCCTCCTCCTTCTTCTTATTTTTCTTCTCCTTCTTTTTCTTTATTATTATTATTATTATTATTACTACTACTACTATTATGATTATTGTTGTTGTTATTGTTGGTGGTGGTGGTGGTGGTGGTGGTGGTGGTTGTGGTTGTGGTGGTGGTGGTGGAGTTATTATTGTTATTATTGTTGTTATTGGTGTATTATTGTCATCTATAATTTATACAATTAACTTCTCTGTGGTTCAACCTCAGTCTTACCGGGTTATTTATTACTTCGACACTCCTGCTCTTAAGAGAAGACATCAATCTTTTGGTCGTGTCACTTATATTATTAGATATATTACTATAAAACATGATCTAGTGATGGAGTTGTTGATACTTCAAGTGCAAAATAATAATATAAAACCTTGATAAAAATATATTTTTAAGTACTAAACAATTAGATTGAATTTCGGTGTGAAAGATTTAACCCCGTGACAATTATTATATGATGAAGAAGAGTTTAATAATGCTCTTCTTAACTGGTATGCTTGTGCCGAAGTGGGAGATGAGTTTGCCACTAAGATTATAGAGTTAAAATAAAGCCAAGATCTAGGTTATGGTACAATACCTAAGCATGCCCATAAAATATTACCATAAGAACTTTGCACATGACATCACTATCTTGTGTTACAAGATCTAAGATGATTTTTATATTCTATATGTGCTCTCTTGGATTTGTAAACTAATTGTAATTGCCTAAATTGGCCTTCACGAATACATAATCTTGAGAAAAATGAGTGTGTAAAACTTGTCAATACAATAAAGAATCCCTCAATTGGATGGGACAATATTTATAGTTAGGAGTTCATTTAGTTACAAATATCATCTTTTATCGAGGTCTTTTTAACAATATTCATTGTCAAAAGTACTATCTACAAAAAAAAAGGACACTATTCATTGTTAGGAGTTTGTGTAGTTACAAATCTCATCTTGTGTCAAGGTCTTTTTATATAGGGACTGTGAGTAAAATTTTAAAGGAAGATTGATCGTTAAAGCCATTCTTGTATCTAGGAATTGTTATGAAATACTCTTCATGGTATAAATGACACCTTTAATAATCATAATAAATACAAACTTGTTATAAGATTAAAAGAACATTATCTAAAGATTATATAAAAATAGAATCAAACTAAAAATAGAAATAATTATCTATAAATTTAGAATTCTCTATGAATTTCTATATACCATATAGAAATAGAATACATAATTATCTATATAAGATAGACAAATAAAAAATATACAAATTTCTAATCTAATAAATATTTAAAATTGAAAATAATTTAAAAAATAGAAATGTTCATTTTTATACATTTTTCTAATATAACAATACATTCAATACATTTTCATTTTTTTTCTAATAAAAAAAACTTTTGTATCACAGCAAATCAAATAAACCTATTATTTCATTTGAATGAAGAAAAAAAAAACCAAACCACCGGAATAGATATAAATAAATCTACAAATAAGATCTAATTACCCAGATCGGATTATATTTATTTGATACATTGTTATCAATATGAATGTAAATCTGTTAATAAAAAAAGAAAAAAGAGAATGAATTTTTCTATTATTAAATTCCATACAATATTAAATAAATAATAGAAAATTTGAAAAGAAATGAAAGTCTTTTTATTGCAGTACGAATAACTCGTACAACGGATTAACAATCCAACACTTTAGTCCACTCAGCCATCTCTCACAACTGAGAAAAGATAATTCCTATATTACATTACACAACAATACACAAGAAGTAGGGCTTGAAAAAAGAAGTCCTTCTTCTATACTTTTTTTTTTTTACCTTTTTTTTTACTATTTTTTATCTTTTTTATTACTTTATATTACTATTTAAAAGATACAAATTTTAGAAATTCTGTAATGAATGAATGGAAAAACTGGGTAAGAAGTAATTATCAATATAAATACGATTTATCTCAGATCAGATGGTCTAGCTTAATATCGCAAAAATGGCGAAATAGAATGAATCAACAGCATATAATCCAAAATAAAGATTTAAATAAATGGAATTTATATGACAAAGACCAATTAATTCATTATGAAAAACAAAATAATTTTGAAGTGGATTCATTATCGAACCAAAAAGATAATTTTAAAAAATACTATAGATATAATATTTTATTATATAAATCCATTAATTATGAAGATAAAAAAGACTCATCTATTTATGAATTACCATTCCATAATAAGCAAGAGCTTTTTTATAATTACAAAATAGATAAAAGCAAATTATTTGATATGTCGGGAGGTATCCCTGTCAATAAGCATCTAGCAGAAGATGATATTATCGATATGGAAAAAAGCTCGCATAGAAAATATTTGGATTGGAGAATTCTCCATTTTGGTCTTAGAAAGAAAGTCGATATTGAATCCTGGATCGATACCGGAACCAAACAAAAAAAAAACCTTTTTGATTGGATGGGAATGAATGAAGAAATACTAGATCGTCCCACATCAAATTTAGAATTTTGGTTCTTTCCAAAATTTGTGATACTTTGCAACGCATATAAGATAAAATCATGAGTGATACCAATCAAATTACTTTTTTTAAATTTTAATGGAACTAAAAATGTTAGTGAAAATTAAAAAATCAACAAAAAGAAAAATAACGATCCTTTTATATTCGATAAAAATCAACAAAAAGAAAAATAACGATCCTTTTATATCTATATCATCGAATGAAACAAAATCCATTCAATTAAAGAATCAAAATCATGAAGAAAAAGAGTTTGAGGATCATGTAGATCTTGAATCAGTTCTAGTAAACCAAGAAAAAGATGTTGAAAAAGATTATGTAAGATCAGACAGGAAAGAGTATAGAAAGAAAAAGCAATACAAAAGTAATATGGAAGCAGAACTTGATTTCTTGCTAAAAAGGTATTTATACTTTCAATTAAGATGGGATGATTTTTTAAATAAAAAAATAATCAATATCGATTCGATCCGAGATCTTTTATTGAATTGCTCATTTAATGAGCATTCTCAATATTATGCCTTGAAGAGGACTTGAACCTCCTCACTCTTTAGCACGAGATTTTGAGTATCAAGTGTCTAGCATTTCACCACCAAGGCATCTTGAAAGTGAATTTGTAACAAATTCAACGTTTTCAATTAGTATAGCTTCTTTTGGGATATTTATAACGTCTTCTTTATATAAACCGATTTATTCATCCTTACAAAATTTTGGCCTTAGAAAGAAAGTCGATATTGAATCCTGGATCGATACCGGAACCAAACAAAAAAAAAACTTTTGATTCGGAGATAGGATAGGTAGATTTTTAGATGATGAGTTGATTTCTTTTTCTACTTATATTGCTCTTTTTTTTTCGAGTGTTGTCTATAATCTATAATGATAATGATTGATAAATGATTGATAAATAAAAAAAATTCAATTCGTATTTTTGCTTATCTTCGTATCTTTAAAAAATTGAATTTAAGAAAGTATTTTACAAATATATGGATAAAAAAAATAGTTTATTTAGCTCCTTTGTGCCCATTCTAAATGTTCTCGTGCCTACTTTCTTATATGTTGTTTTGTCCTATTATTTTAGATAACCAGATTTGTATTTGTTCATTTAATAGTGCATACAATGGAGTTATGTTTTGTATTTTTTTTATTAAGGGAATGATAAAGTGAAAAATTATTGTTATATAACTAGAACAACAACATTGAACACCTTCACTTGATGAGAGAGTTGATACAGATCTAGAGGAGTTGAAGTACCTATGTTGGGTAGGTAATTGACACTTATATTTCTTGGATTTTCTAAGTTGTCAACCATGTAAAATATTTATGTTAATATGAGAAATAAGAATGAACTGACTTTTATTTAGTTTCTAAACAACATCAGTAATAAAGTTATGAAAACTTCATATTGGATTAGGACTTTCCATGTCTTGCTCGTAGGTTAAAAATGCTAACTCTTAAATGTGGGTTTTGTTATTGGTCTTAGAAATCCTTATAAGACAAGTTCCTTAGTGGAATAGGAATCCTTCAATTCTTAAATAAGTAAACTGTAGGAGATGAATAATGTAAAGAAAGTGGAAGAGAGTATCTATAAATATTTTGTGTTTTGTATTATCAAATAAACTTGTATTTTACTGTTTATTTTATAACCTAAAATATCTATACCTCTTGGTCATGTTAACTTATCTCATGAAGCATGGTAAATGATGTTACAGTTACTTTGTAGTGAGTGAAATTGCAAGTATTTAATGGTGAGTTATTGGTTATTATAGCATTGATGAAGATGTTGGTGTATGCTACTGGTTATAATGTCTTGTTATTAAGGTAGAGAATAGGAATTGACATGGTTTTTAAGATAACTTGTGAATTACAAATAGAAAAAAAAAAGAAAAAAAAAAAAGAGATACTTTTACCCTTCTTGAAACAATTAATGTAAAATAACCATTGATGTACTTTTACTACTTAGAAAAAATAATGTATAGTAATAGATTGTGCCATTGAGTTGCATCTCATATAGTGATTTTAAATAAGTAATTAATACTACGATGCATGTGTTTCTTCAATTAAAAGATGCAAAAACAACACTGATGGCTTGGTGAGAGTGGGGTATAATGTTTTAATTTATTGCTAGTAATGCTAAATATCCATATAAATTTAATATCAAAACAAGAATCCTTCTCAAATCTCTTAAACTTTAATGAATTGTAATCGTCCATCGAATAAGAACTTCAATTTTAGAATCAAAATCAAGATTTTCCAGCTTTGATATTTTTTGCAAATCATAATTTGGACTGAAATCCCTTGGCTCCACCACGGCTCATGATTATGATATATCTGTCGGTTAAGCCTCGATTAATCTCTTTTATTGTGCTTTTTTTCACCCTAGATAGCATTCATGTATTGTTCTTCTTCTGGATTGCTGGCATTGTCTTCTTCTAAATAACTTACTATGAGCTTGCTCAGGAAATGTGATAGTTTATGAATTTCCATTAAACAATTAATTAATAAAGTTGTTCAAAAATATTAAACAAATAATAATATGCCAAACTCAAGCTATGAATAGACACAAACACACACCCTTTCCATGATTCCATCAACACGAAGAAAAGTAAATGCCACCATGTCAAATAGACGACATCACGAAAAAAAATAAAAAGTACATTAAGTAGAGAGAGATAAAGACGCCCGGTTTGCCCAAATCCAGTTCGGCAGAACCCAAACCCTGCCGGCCACCACTAATTAACCAGCTTGTCAGGCACCAGGAGCCGCATCCTTCACCTTGCTCTGCAAGTACCCACCATACTCCCTGGCGTAGTCCTTCACATGGCTCGCTGTATCGTAGATTCTGTTACGAGCATAATCGACCTGGTCCGACCCAGGTGGATTCAACCCTGTAAAATACTTATACACCCATGACAATCCAGCCACTACGGCCAATCCGAACCCGCAAAAAGATAAGAACCCAGCAACAACAAAGAAGAGAACTATGCCCATAGGGATCCATATAGGGCTTGAAATGATGATCAGAGGAGTTAAAAGGGTCAACCCGAGTACTGATCCTGTGACAGTGATCCCTGTAAGGAGAAGTAGAACGGAGCCGGAGATGATAAGAGTCAACAAACCAACAAGTTGGCTTGAGTTTGATCCGACATGGACTTGGAGTTTACGCAGAAATGTAGAGCCACTGTGGGTGGTGGTGGGTCTCGTAGCTCTCTGGGTAGGGGCACGGTCAGCCATTAGGGAAATTTTGTGGATAGAAAGAGAGAGATGGAGACAGGACATGCGGGTTTACTGAAAGGTGGTAAATAGAATTTGGTTTGGTTTATTTGTATGGATGGGACACGTGTTTGGATTTGGAGACATGCAAAAGCACACGTGGAAGGGTGGAATCTTAGAACTCCTACATTTGGATTTTGTTACTGACCTTTTCTCACTCGAGATCTGGGTGTGGTACGGGCAAATATATTTACTGTGTTCGTTATTAGTAACAAGCGATCTTTAGATCACGTGTATGTCGATTGTGCTAGCCCATGATCCGTGCTAGGCCGCATGCTAAAAAAAAATTTTAGCTTTAAAAAAAAAATGTCAAGAGAATGCAAATATTTATTTATAAAAGTGAGAAAAAGTTGTGATTGTGATTTATTTTATTAAATTATTAGATGCATTGAACTGGATAAAAAATAAAAATAAAATTAATCTAACTTAATGTGTCACAAAGAAAATTAAAAAAAAAAAAGTTAGCGAAGTAAACCTAAATGTATTAATAGGGAAAACACTTTAACAATTAATTAGAAATTATGCACCAATTTTAAAACACTTTAACAATTAATTAGAAATTATGCACCAATTTTAGATTTGATAAATTAGAATTCTTGAATGAAAATTTATGAAAAATATAAAAATTTGTGTTGATGAGCACCTATAATATGTATATGATGTGAACAATGGGTGAATGAAGCAAGATACAAAATAACTAGAAAGAAAAGGGGAATCCTTAGTTCTCTTAGGCCAAGTTCAACCAAAAGTCAATTGAGGGAAGAGAAGAAGGATTCTGGTTTATTATATGACCTTGATGCATGAATTAATTGTAGTGGAAAGCTCACTAATAGGGAAAAGTGTGAAAAATTGATAGTAGGGGACTTCACGAGTTTGGTGCATGTTATTTGAAGCGAAGACAAAATTATTAACCACAAATATAGCTCATGTTTTTTGCATGGAAGAAATCATAAAATGTAGGAAAACATAGAAAATAAATGTCGTAGAAGAAAAAAAGAAGGGAGGTTGGTAGAAAACTCACTCAAGAATCGCAGAGAAAATCTAGGCAGATCCGTCACCCTGTTTTGGAGGATATTCAGGCCTTAGAATGACAAAATATGGGAAACATCTCTTACAGAAATTGTAGTCGGAGATATTAGCTTTTTAACGAATTCAACCTCGCTTGATTTGAAACTCTAGAGCTATAGATATAGATAAATATATGAGAAAGGGTTGAGATGTCGCCGCTGCTTGCAGATTTGGCGAGATTGATAAAATGAGGAAGTTTAGCCGTGATAAGGGTTAAAACTAATTTCCTTCCCATAAAAATTTTGTAAAGACGTACCTTGACACCAAAAGGAAATAAACCAAATTTGAAAATGAATTTGATAATATGCGCAATGATTTAAGATAATGGAACACAAAGAGTAAATGTTGTTGTTGTTGCCTTGCTATCTGCGAAATATAAATTGGACATGAACTAATGTGGTGTTTTTGTGAATTCAAGAAGAACCGTAAGAAGAGTACAACAACAATAAGGGAGCGCAAACTGAGCATCGGTGGAGGTAAGTGTTTCACCTATACTCTTCTTATTTAAGAGTGAAACTAGTATTCTATTTTACTTTGGAATTTATCACTTGCAAATAAATTTAAAGAAAGGAAACATATGATGAAATGGATATGGATTGAAATCTAATTTTGGTTGTGGTCTTATGGACTTGGATTTCAAATAATGAACTATAATGATGAATCCAAAACAAACATTTATGAACTTGATTAATTGATCTCGAATATGAACAGTTAATGATGTTAGCAAAATTTGCTAACATCGGCATGATCTTGATGGAAATATAATGAATGTTGAACTTGATTAACTATTCAGATTAAGAATAGATAATGATACCGACAAATAGTGTTAGTATCGGCAAACCTAGGATAATTTGATTAGCTTTCCAAGAAGAAAGCTAGTGATGTCAAGAGAACTTTGCATCAACATTACTAGAAAAATCTCCAAGGTGAGGCGAAAAAGAATTGATTGACTATTTTGAGTTGGAAATAATTAATAGCACCAACCAGTAAGTTAGTGCAGTATTACCAAGGATTTGATTAGTCAGTCCGGGTAAGGGCAACTAATGATCCTCATGGGAATTATTAGTGTTGACAATAACATCCCTAAATTTAGGACAAAATAGTAAGATGGATGTATACGATAAAGAATAATAGATAATAATAACAAAAGGAAACCTATAAATGGGCTACGGAATGATAAGATCTAGATATAGTAAAGGAAAATTTAAGTGTCAGTTTCCAAGACAACTATGATTGTGTATTATCGAGTAGGTAATTATATATGTGGATAAATATATTTATGATTCTCCCTCATCTCTACTATACTTTTACTTTTAATATTCTCCCTCATCTATACTATACTTTTACTTTTAATATAATTATTTTTCATAATTGGATATTGCAGGTCCTTCACTTTCACGCTACTAATAGTATCTTAGATTTCTAGTTCATTTTGTATGAA